GCTGTAACTGATAGGTTTGGTATACCAGTTACATGTTCTTTGGTTTAATGGTGAGGCTGAATGTCCAGTTGTCATGACCTGACTCAGTTTCGTTCTCTTTCCCTTTCTCATTACCATGAGTAAGATCTCATTGTAACTTGTTGCAGGACTTATATTCATCCTTAGACTGATGATAGTTGAATTCGGAACTATCTTCTTTTTGTTCTGAGACAGGGTCTAACTATGTAGCATGGACTGGCCTGGATCTCACTTGATGTAGACCAGGCTAGCCTCAAACTCACAGAGATCTGCCTGCCTCTGTCTCCCAAATGCTAGGATTAAAGGCATGAGCCTCTATACCCAACTGAACTCCTTTTTGAACGAAGTATTATATCTCAAAGTGTGAGTGAAGAGTGATCATTATAACCCTTTATCAAATTTAGGGCATATGATGTTGGATTGGTATATAATATGTATGGCCGAGAACTCATCATATCTCTACTGCCCTTTCCCTAAGACTCAGTGGGATGTTAAAATATATTTAAGAAATCTTATTTCAAGGCTGAACAAATGACTGATTTCACCTGCTGTCACAAGACAGTAAGAGTTCGGGAACCTTGAACTCAAGGTGGAAACAGAGAGCCAACTCTCAGAAGTTGTCTTCTGACCTCCAGATACGTGCATGTGCCCCACCCCCCATAATAATAAATAAAATGAAGTAAAATAAAAAGAATCATGGTAGAGCCAGGAAAGGTGGTATATTCTTGTTACCCAGCACATAGAATACTGAAGCACAGGAGTATTGTCAGTTTGAGGCCAAACCGAGGCTACAAGGTGAGACACATACTACCTATTAAATTAACTTTAGTGTTAGAAGCTGTGTGCTGTGTTCTAGCAAAAATGCTTGTGTTAGAGTTTGTCTCTAAGAGTGGAACAAGGTAGGAACATTAAATATGTAATGTATTGTAAATACGTTACAAGTAATGTATTTTATTTATTTGCCCTTGGTATTTCCCTTTTATTTTCTTGGTGAATGTGTCTAAGAGTGACAGAAGAAAATAAAACCAAGAAGTAATTGATTTTTAGATTCTTCCTTACTGTTTTTGGACTATTCTAACCACAAGGAAAATTACTTATTCATTCTATGTGTTGTGCTGCTTTTGTTTGTTGTTTTAAAATGGGCTGTCAGGCCAGGCTTGGTGGTGGTACATGCCTTTAATCCCAGGGAGGCAGAGGCAGAGGCAGGCAGATTCTGTGAGTTCAAGGCCAGCCTGGTCTACATAGTGAGTTCCAGGCCAACTGGGGCTGGAGGAAAACGCTGTTTCAAAAAACAAACAAGAAAAACAACATGAGATGTCATGATAGCCCATGTTGACCTAGAAGTCACTGTGTAGCCCCAGGGTATCCTCAAAGTTGTGACAGTCCTCCTTCCTTAGTCTTCCAAGTATTAAGATATGAGGAACCACCATTGCCTTGTTTTATATTGACTTGGAAGGTCCAAGTAGAACTATTAACTTGGAGAAAGTTAAAAACTGGATTTGGGGGTCCTGGAGAGATGGCTCAGCAGTTAAGAGCACTGACTGCTCTTGCAGAGGACCCAGGTTCAGTTCCCAGCACCCACATGGTGGCTACAAACCATCCTTAACTCGAGTTCCAAAGCCCTCTTCTGACCTCCATGGCATCACACGACATGGGTGCACTCACATACACGCAGGCAGTACACTCATACACATAAAATAAAAATAATAAAATATTTTTTTAAAAAAACTGGGTTTGGGTCTGTTTAAAGAAATTTCTTAAGGAGTTGAGTTATCCATTAATAGAATAGGCCAAAAGATATAGGATATGGTATAAGTAGCACATAGACACAGACTCACAACATGAAAAAAAATCCTTCTTCAACCCCTGTGTCTATAAATGTGATGTGCCAGTCCCGTAATTATACTTTGATCTTTGACATGCTAATAGTCACTGGAGCATAAAGTGCTTGATGTAATTCCCTAATACCTTTTTCTATTTTCTATTTTTATTTTATGTGTATGACTATATTGCCTACATGTATGTGAGTACACCCGTGTCGTGCAATGCCTCGGAAGTCAGAAGAAGGCTTCGTATTCCCCTGGAACTGGAGTTAAGGATGGTTCATAGCCGTCCATTGGGTGCTGGGAATAGAACCCGGGTCCTCTGGAGTTACTACACTTACTTATTTGTGTATAAGAACATGCCCACATGCATGAGTGTATAGAGTTTAGAGGACAACTTGGTGGAGTTGGTTTTTCTCCTTTCACCACTGGGTTCTGGGGATTAAGCTCAGGTTATCAAGCTTGGCAGCAAGTGCCTTTACCTATTAAGCCATCTTGCTGGCTCTCTTGTTTTTTGTTGTTTAATTTGTTTCATTTTTGACAGATATTTGAGTTACAAATCCCATCAATTCTGTCTTAATGTTGGAGAGAAGTTTTTTGTTTGTTTTTGGTCTTTTTGAGACAGGGTCTCCCTGTAGCCCCAGCTGACCTGGAACTCACTATGTAGACCAGGCTGGCCTTGAACTCACAGAGGATCTGCCTGCCTCTGCCTCCCAAGTGCTGGGATTAAAGGCGTGTGCCACCACACCCAGCTTGGAGAGAGTTTTTATTTCCCAAAATGTTAAGTGGGCTGTGACATTAACATTTGTACAGGGGTATTCATAGCACTGCTTGTGAATGCATCTGTATAATGGAACATATTATTTCATTAAAAATGGCAGGGCTGACCTGTTTCATCTCTAGATCCTGCAGTGGAAGAAGAGAATCACTCTCAAAAGTTGTCCTCTAACCTCCACATATGTACTGTAGCATGCACATGGCTACACTCACACAATAATAAAATTAAATTTAGAGTGATGGATGGCCCAGCATGGTGGTGCATACCTTTATTCCTAGCACACTGGAGGCAGAGACAAGTGGATCTCTGTGAGTTAGAGACCAGCTAAGGCTATATAGTGAGACCCTATCTCAAACAAAAAAATAGTAGATAAGTAAGTGGGTTTGTGTGTCAGTAATGAAGCTGGATATGGTGGCACATGCCTATAATCCCATTACTGGGAGGGTCATTTAGAGGCCACTTTGTCTGCAGTTCTAGACCAACCAGGATCACAAAGCAAAACTCAGTCTCCAATAAAAAGGTAATTATCTCAGGGCTGGAGAGATGGCTCAGTGGTTAAGAACACTGGTTGTATTCAAATCCCAGCACCCACATGGCAGCTAACAGCTGTCCGTAACTCCAGTCCCAGGGGATCCAACAGCCTCTTCTGTCCTCTGTGGGCATTGAACGGCATGGGTGCACTTACCTGCATGCAGGCAATACACACATACACATAAAATAAATATAAATTTTAAAAAGGTGATTATCTCTAGATACTCTATATTTTGGGCAAATTATCTCTGTGAGAACACATAAAACTTCAACAAAGTGGTTGCTTCAGGGATGAAATATTGCGGGTCAGTGGTAGAAACAACCCCATTATAATATAGCATGCACAAAGCCTTGGATTTGATCTCCAGTGTACCAAATAAACTAGGTGTGGTGACTTGGGCCTTTAGAATCAGAAGTTCCAGGCCATCCTCCATAGCAAGTTACTGGCCAGCCTGGGCTAAATAAAATTTTGTCTGGAAATCATACTGTTATATATATTTGCTACATAAGATTTGTTTAACCTGTGCAGAATTAACTTTTCATTATTTAAGTTTAAAGTCTTTATTCATTTATTTTTATTTTATGTATATAAGTGTATTGTCTGCATGTGTGTAAATGTACCAGTAGTGTCCTGCAATGCCTAAGGATGTCAGAAGAGGGCATCAGATTCCCTGGAACTGGAGTGTTGACAGTTGTTAGCTGCCATGTGGGTGCTGGGATTCAAACCCATGTCTTCTGCAAGAGTAATCAATGCTCTTAACTGCAGAGCCATCTCTCCTTCCCCTAGTTTAAAGTCTTATAAAGGAAATCCTAAATGGGCCTTTTCTATCATTTTGTGACTAAAGGCTCAAAATAATTGAGACACATTGAAATAGGAAAGCAGGGATGCTTGCCCTTTTTCTGTTTGGAAAGAAGGGAAGAAAAGCTGAAGTACCTACCATGTTAACTTCTCTGCTTTAAATTCTTATTTTAAATGAATGCCTCATTAAACAACAGTATGCTAGTATATCGTATACCAAGTTTCCAGTTTTTGCATTTTTTTTAGCCCGTTCTAATGGTTTAAAATTATTTCTAATATAAAACTGTTGTGGTGTGTGTGTGTGGTATATGCTCTCACTTTCTGCCTGTTTTTTTGAGGCAGGATCTTTCTCTGAACTTGGAGTTCACATAATTTGGTTCAGCAGGAAGCCAGCAAGCCCCAGCAATCCCCCTGTCTCCACTACAAGGATTACAGGCGTGTATAGGATGCCCAGATTGTTGCAGGGGTGCTGGGATATGCACTCCAGTGTTCATGCTTGCACAGCAAAACACTGAGCCAACCTTCCATCCCCTTACTATAGTTTATCAAAACAGTTCTGTGCAGAACTGAGTTCTAATCTCCAGTGCTTAAGCATGAATAGTAAGAGGAGGGTAAATGTAAATGCTAGCAAATTGATGGTTACTGTCACAAATCAATATCTAGCTATATAAAATACAGCTTGAGGGGCTGGAGAGATGGCTCAGTGGTTAAGAGCACTGGCTGCTTTGCAGAGGACCTGGATTCGATTCCTAGCACCCACATGGATGCACTTAAACACATGCAGGCAATACACATAAAATCAAAATAATATTTTCTTTAAAAGATGTATCTTGCTGGGCGCGGTGGCGCACGCCTTTAATCCCAGCACTTGGGTGGCAGAGGCAGGCAGATTTCAGTGAGTTCAAGGCCAGCCTGGCCTACATAGTTTCAGGCTGGGGTTGCAGGGAGACCTGTCTCAAAAAAGACACCCCCCCCCCAAAAAAAAAAAAAAGGTATTTTTAGTACTCATTTGAATGTGTTGGGTTGTGTTTTTTTTTTTTTTTTTTTCCAGAAATCGGGCTATAGCAGATTATCTTCGTTCAAATGGCTATGAAGAGGCATATTCTGTTTTTAAGAAGGAAGCTGAATTAGATATGGTATGCTTTGCTTTATTATTCAGTCTCCTAATTATTCATAGTATAGTTAATGAATGAGTTTCACTTAAATTCAATAGCTACATCATTAACTCAGCTATTCACTAATCTTGTCATTTGTTACTAAGGTTTGCTTGGCTTTGAACTTGGTTTTAGCACTTTTTGTATAGTCAGATATTTAATGATATTTAGACTTAAGATGGTTTCTATGACTTCAGCTGTCATAGGTAAGCCATTTTTTCAAAGATATTTCTTTCCTCCTCTAGAATGAAGAATTAGATAAAAAATATGCTGGTCTTTTGGAAAAAAAATGGACATCTGTTATCAGATTACAAAAGAAGGTAACTAAGTCTTTTTTCTTTAAAATCAGTTGTATTTATTGTGCTCTTAGACACTTTCTATATATATTAACATAAATTAATAGGCTGCTAATATATCAGATCTTGAAAACACAAAAATATATTTCTTCTGCTTTATGAAAATTTTTACTTAAGCCATTGCCAGTGCATACATACTGACACAGCCTAGAGGACTGACTTGGTTGAAAATGCATAGTCCTGACTTTGAGAAGTTGATGCTTAAGGAATTAATTTTTGCCCTTGAAAGACACAACTAGTTGGTATTGGGGAAAAGAGCATTAAAATGTGTTATTACACAAGACATTTTTATCTCTCAGCTTTTATTTCTACCGATAAGATGAAAGCAACAAAAAATACTCCATTTCTAAAATATTTATTCTTCATAAGCAAAGGTAAATAAACAGCAGAGTTCTTATGTGAGCCTAGATAAGTACCTAGCTCCTAGTACATGTTCAGTAAACATTAGTTTCTGTTTTGAATATCACTGTCATTAACATAGAAGATAAGCAGTGGTTTAGAAAAAATTTACTAAATAGCAGATGCAAAGGAAGAAGGTACATTTATTGCTCTTCCTCTCTATTGTGAAATATAAATTGATGTTTTTCTTGGAGTTGAAGAGTTTAGACTAGGCATTGTGGCACACTTGTAGGTGCCACTTGGGAGGCTGAGCCAGAGAGTCATGAGTAATAGACCATGCTGAGCTTCATTGTGAGACTTTGCCCCAAAGAAATCAAAGGAAAAAAGTGACCAAATATGTTACAGGAATCTTAATCTATATTTAATTTCATGTTCCCCCTTAAGGTTATGGAATTAGAATCAAAGCTAAATGAAGCAAAAGAAGAATTTACGTCGGGTGGTCCTCTTGGTCAGAAACGAGACCCAAAAGAATGGATTCCCCGTCCACCAGAAAAATATGCATTGAGTGGTCATAGGAGTCCAGTCACACGAGTCATTTTTCATCCTGTGTTCAGTGTTATGGTCTCTGCTTCAGAAGATGCTACAATTAAGGCAAGTTTTTGTTAAAACTAGGCTTGCTGTTAATTAGATGAAATAAAACATTCTGAAAATAAAGAACTAAGCAAAGGGACACAGAGGGCCTCTTAGTGGGGGGCCTCTTAGGGCCTCTTACTATTTATTTGCTTGCTTGCTTGCTTGCGTGCATGCGTGCGTGCGTGTGTGTATACACACACATGAGCTTATTCATACATGTGTTCCCATGAGCCCATGACATACCTGTGGAGGTCAGAAGATAACTTCGAGGAGTTGGTTCTCTCCTTCTATCATGTGGGTTCTGGGGATCAAATGGGTTGTCAAGCTTGGTAGAAAGTACATTTACTCTCTGAGCCATCTTGCCAGCCCCAGGGGGTCTATCTGAAACTGTATGTGATGTGGTTCTGAATCTTAAAGACAGATGAAAACTTCATTATAGCTCCTGAGAAGCACACTGCCAATAAGCTTAATTGATGTATTTGAGAAGATTGAGGGTGTTTAGTGTTGGGCAGTAGGTCACTTTGTCCTCGAATTTTTCTTCTTGGAGAATGAGATACGTGTTCCCTATTTTTAAGCAGCAGTAAGAAAATACTGGTTTACAAAGCCATTCTGCTAAAGAACAAAAGTAGCTCATACAGTTTTTAAAATCTAAGCATAATAAGATTGTAAAAACAACATAAAAAAGATAAAATAGAGGGCTGAAGAGATGACTTATCCATTAAGAACACTGACTGCTCTTATAAAACACTTAGGTTAGATTCCTAGCACCCACATGGTGGCTAACAACCATCTGTAACTCCAATTCCAGGGCATCTGGCACCCTTTTCTGGCCCCCGTGGGTACTGCATGACACAGGGTGCACTTACATAAATGTAGGCATAGCTCTCATACACATAAGATTAAAATAAATCCAAAAAAAATTTTAACGATATAATATAGATTTCTGTTTTAAGGCTTATTTCATAGAAAATTACTGATTGGGGCTAGAGAGTTGGCTCTGTGTTTAAGAACACTTGATGCTCTTCAAGTTTGGTTCCTGGCACCCATATGGGGTGGCTCACAACCTCTTAGAACTCCAATTCCAGGGTTTCCAATGCCCTCTTAGGCCTTTAGGAGTACCTACATACACACATAACTTTTTTTTTTACTGTTTTTAAAAAATTACTGATTTGAAGTTTTACTTGTAAAAGTTTAAGAAAATGTCAGTTGCTTATATCACATAGCAGCAGTCCTGTCTAAAATGCAAGCATAACTTAACGTTTGGCTATATTTAACCAGTTCTTCCAACTTTAATACTCTTACATTTTCTTTATATGATTTTTTAAAAATTATTTATTTAATGCCAGGCATGGTGGTACATGCCTTTAATCCCAGCACTCGGGAGGCAGAGGCAGGCAGATCTCTGTGAGTTCAAGGACAGCCTGGTCTACCTAGCGAGTTCTAGGACAGCTGGGGCTACAGGGAGACCCTGTCTCAAAAAGACCAAAAATAAATAAAAATAAAAATGGTGCTATTTTCAAAATGACATACACTTGTTAATCATGAACACTTGATTCAGGAGTAGTTTACATCATATAAGATCTTTCCTTATTTAATCCCTTAAGGATCTGAGTTCTATTTCCTTAGAACTGAGGACATTAAT